TATTCTGAGTCTGATATATTTTTGATTTCTCTCTGATCCGCGTCTTTACCACTCAATACAAGTTTTTTATCACACGTTTTATCAACTTTAAGAAACACCTAAAACGCAGTGACTGGGATTGTTTAAAGTTCTTTATTCTTACTGCTTTAACTTATGATTTTAGTAATAAAATACTCCCACATATCACAAAAACCCATAAAGTTAGTTCAGGTTTAACTAGCATCATAGCCAGATGCATCTAGACAGATCGAATTCAAAACACTGCAGGAGGTTTATGGTGTCCGGCTGTTCTGATCCATTCCTTTCCGTGATTTCTTCGAACAATACCAGGCAACTGCTGGAGCAGTACATTAACGAACGGGCCACGTCCAAGCGCTATATTCTTTCCTCAACCTTGCCCCTTCACTCTGCTCTTCACACACACACACACACACACACGCACACACACACACACATACAACACGTGTTAGAGGACTAATTGAAGACTTAGAGCTTGTCTCGGATAGCGCAGAGTTTCACTAGAGAGAGATTCCTCAAGTAAGAAAACCTTTCCAACCGAATTTCACATTCCTGCAAGAAGAGCACCGACAGCTGCTGGATAATAACATGCACAACACTTCCGAAGCTAATGACAGTTGTTCACGATCTTGGGAACACTAATAATATAATATAATGTAAAACTTGTATTTAGTTCTTTCGAAAGGCGAAGGTGAAACCTTAAACAAATTTGTTTTTTATTACTAATTCGTTTACAAAAAATGTCTCACAAACCAATATACGATTATAGAATGTAAATATAATAATCAAATACATACATTTAGTTGCTTTTAATTAAAAATGTAAACTGAAATAGTAATTAAAATTACATAATGTCGCAGTAACCAATAACACGGAAAAGTAAAAAGCCACAATTGGATAGTTATATGGTATATAAACTGGAACCTCAACGGAAAGATTCAAGAATATAATGCATTAGAAAGGTTTGAGTCAATAATGAAAAAACTTTGAGATGTATCGCAGTTATTATATCATGTTTCTTAATTTTGTGATTTTTCTAATTTGATACTAAGTGTCCCATACGTGCACCTTTTCTGTATAAAAATTGATACATATTCGTATGAACTTTGTCAAAAATCGTTCCTTTTTATCTCGAAATCTTATTTTTTACTAAATGGATCTCGTTCGTTGTAAAGTGTGTATTAATAAAGATACCAAAAGTTTTCAGAAATAATGATGATTGGTTACCATAAATTTATGGTAAGGAATATTTCTATAATCTGACGAAGTACCCCAATCCCATCAGCGAATTCACACTGTCCCTCCCAACGGACCGTAATAATTGAAACGATTAAATATTCAGTTATGTTCAAACCGTGTAATTATGAATTTAACTGATTTGTGGTCATTCATGAACTGTGTTAAACATTAATTATGCCTACTGTTAGAAGCAAATATATTAAACCTGTTATGAACATGCTGCACTAGTTGCACGGATCCGGAGTTGGTACCCGAGTTAAATTCATTGAACCTTGGTGCACTACAATGAATATTCCTAGCTTACAGTTCTCCCTTCAGTAGTCGGAGCAAAAAGCAACAGAGTTGTGTGCTCTTGAAAGTTGTAGCCGAAAAAATGTGTCTGCAGAAAATGCAATTTGAACTTTTATCCTGCATTACGAAGTACTTAACAGAGAGGTAAGATTCAAAATAGTAGTTTTGACCGTCACCTGATTTTAATTGATTTTATTTCAATAATTATTTAACATGACGTTTTGGAGGAATTTCTCTATCCTGCGTCACATAAATTTACAATTTTAGCCTTAATATTGCCTTATATATATGATGCCTTAATATATATGATGAAGACAATAAGCCTTAATATATATGATGAAGAAGCCCAAAATTTCTTCGAAACGCAATGCTAAATAATTAATAACATTAAACCCGATTAAAAGATTGTGATTTTCAAAAATATTTGTTTGAACCTTACCTCTATGTTAATTGCTAATACTTAATACAATGACAATATATAAAAAAAAATTAAAATAAATAATATAAACTTTATCATACATCTTTTACGAGATTTCACTGTGCTCTTATTGAACGACTGCAATATGATATTTTAATTATTCTTGAACCTTGTCGTGGACGTGTTACCTGTAGTCTATGACCTCGTCTGTAACCGATCTGCTAAAATCTGCGGCGATATTTTCGGTCTTCGGCGGCCGCTGCTCAACATTTTAATTCAAGGCCACGTTATGCGCGCCCATACGCTCTGCTGGCGCAACACAAGAGATCCGTGTGCCCGCATCCACTGAATCGGACGGCAGATTTCTCGGAAACTATCATTCAAACAAATATCTTAATGGTCGATAAACTAACATAATTAACATTATTACTAGCAAATATTGAAAACGTATGTTATTAAAAACCTTTGTGCACTAATGAGAGTACTCAATGAAGGTTGTGCGACTATTTCTTTCTCCTTATTTTTTAAAGTATCTCTCTGTCATTTGCCTGACTTGACCTACTCGTAATTACTGTTGATGCCCAATGAAAACAATACGAGGATGGTGAGTGCACAATAAAAGCATTTACACATTCGTCGTTTTGCGAATATGGGAACGGATATGGGTGGAGTTGCGTTTCTATCAAAAGGTACAGTATTTAATTTCTGAGACCGGCTGTCTTTTGATCTATCATTATGTTAAGTTACTTGGGAAAACATGGAGTGTTTTTAATTATTCACTTAACTTAAATTTGGTTATGTTACGAATAAAAATATCATTTTCTTTATTAAACATTTTTAAATACTACATTCCAAATATTTTTTGAAATTCGCACTTTTTTTGTAGCCGTTGGTACTCAGTCCTCATTCAAAAACAAAGTTAGGATAAACAATAAACAGCCATGTTAATATTATACAATATATGTTATGTCAATAGAGTACAATAAAATTATGTTAATTTAGTAAATACAATGCTATTTTACTGCATTCAGCTCAACTATCGGAAAAACAATGTTCAGCAGGATGAAAATAATTTTTGGCTCTTATCCCTTAACGTAGCCTATTTGAAGACATTGATTTACTTTCGCGAGAACGTGAGGATGTCAAAACGTACTTTCCGAATGTCATAGTGAATATTGCAACACTTTAAAGCTCTGTTGTCTCTGCACTGTCTCTCCTCTGCGCGTGTCCAAGTTGATCACGAGACTCCAGTGTTTGTCCGATGCGATTAACTTAGAAAATACTTGAGCCAGACCAATGCATAACGTCTAACGCATTTTATGTCCAAATAATTTTTGGCGAGAACTACTTGTAGCTAAAAAAGCAAAAGTGAAAATAAAACATTTCAAAACAATATTCGTAAACAAAACGACTTATAATCGACGAGGCAAAAATTGAGTAGTGTCTCCAATAATAGCATGAAAAGAGTTATTTGGAGTTTTCGCGTCAAAATGACTCGCATACATTGAAACTTCGAAAAAGAGCGATCTCGTTCCCGCCAGGCTTTCGTTCACTAATCTCGCGATGAACGAGAATTAATTCACTAACGGGGGAACAATAAGGGATAAGATCTTTTTTGCAAAAACATGTTCTCAGTCATAACTGCAGTGGTAGGCGTTTCGAAGAAGTAAGTACCTGTTCAATAACTCTTATACAGTCTTTAGAAGTCCGTTAACTGTTGAGCCAGAGTTTTCGTCTGATGAACGTGAAGGCGGGTATTAATTAGAACGTTTTGGCGTGTATTGATAGATTTTACGAATTGAAAACCTTTACGAGAAATTCAACCTGAGTAGTGACGAAACTGATTTCACGTCTGGTTTTAGGGAGAAGCTATTAGGAGGCGTGTTGTGAAATTATCTATCCAAAGAGGGGAATAAATATATTCTACGTATAACTAATAGTGCAATGCACAACACTGTTTATTGCAGTGGATTTGGTTTGCAGCAATGACCATATAAGTGAGAATAAAAAATTGGAATAAGTTCAAAGTTGCTTTGAGATAAGCACAAAAGGACCACGTGATTTACTGCGTGATGCATACGATGCATGCATGCTATTCGTGATCGTGAGTGCCGTGATCAAAATCACGATATGATTAAAATCACGATATGCCTCATAAACGCTATTCATTAGCAGTATTATCTTGATACTCTTGGCCTCACAGTCATTGAGAGGTTCTTCAAATGACAATGAAGACTGTATATAAATTCGATTTACCGTGACTTTCGTGAGTCACTTTATTTCTTCTCAGCAATGCAATTCAAACGGAGTTTACTGGGCACAGTTCTGCTGGCATCTATAGGTACGTTTCTCTATTGACAATTCAAAATTTTTGCTGATGTATGACAATGCTATATTGCTAAGACGGCTATTGTTAGAAATATTGGTGGCTGCAAGTTTTGGGAGATTGTTGCTCGTAATTTTTCGCGTATTTTTCTTCTTCTTTATCTCTTTTTGATCGTATATCGTAGATCTGTAATTCACTACTATACTATATTAAAGATTTTTCTGTACTGGTTGTAATAGGTCATTGGAATTAAGGTGTGAATACATACATACTTTTAAATGTTATGAAATTCGTTCACCAATCAAATGGAGGGAAACATATAACAGTATTTAATGTATTTAAGTTGCTAAAATAGATAAACAATTTACGTAATTGAACTTCTTGAAACATTTACTGGGTATTTCTAATATTTGTAACCACAGTTAATGAAATAATAGGTCACTTCAAACGTTTTTTCTCACTTTTCATTATTTATTATATGTTGAAAACTAGACACACGTCCGTTACCTTAATTTATCTTTAGACAAAGATAGTGACCCTTAATACAATGAAGTGAGGTAAATGAGAGAAAAAATAAAGATTTGTTGAAGATATATATTCACGCACAAATATTAAGTCTTCTCTGTGTATCAAGGGAAGTGGTGAAATAAAATTAAAATATATTACCATGATGAAAAGAAATAATATTTTTTATATTATCTCTGCCAGTGCTGTCTCTACCCACACGCCAACATGTGATGCCATTATCTGACACATATCCACCCTTCAATGGATCTCAAGACGTGACATTCTATCTTTACACGCAGTAAGTTACTTTCAACCAATGAGTCTCTAAAACTATCATGATTTAAAAGAAAGTTGTCTTTTCGTATTTTTAAAGAATTATTCATTTTAACAATCATTCACAAAATATTCAAGAACCTTTATGCTTTCGAAGATATACTTTCACCAATTATCTTTAAGTAAATTTTGTTTACTGCACTATTGTTTTGAGAAAATTACCAGACTGTCTTCTTCTCACGCACATATCTGAAGGGTGTTTATTTCTTAAATGACAAATTGTTTCAATATATTTCATAAACTCACTGAATTGATAGTTTTACTATACTTATTTTGCAGAAACAACCCGGTGACGCCTGAGTTTATCAAATTGGACGATGATTCTACCTCCCCAAGCTTTAATCCAAAGAACCCGACGCGGCTGGCAATCCACGGCGGCAGAACCAGTGTTCAAAGTATTCTGCGTTTTAGAGAAGGTAGGTTTTCGATCTGAACGATAAAGAAATCATACTTAATGCTCTTCTCTAAGCATACAAAAGTAATTTTTAACACAATTTATTTCAATGCGAATATTCTGAACATGACTTAGTATCACATAATACATTGGATGAAATGATGTCGGGATGTGATGCAAATTGCTTTGCAATTTGTTTCAGATTTATTCTGAACGATGTGATTTCTTACTATGTTCATACGTATTTGTATTTCAAATAAATCATATAATGCCAAGTTCGTTTAATCCTTCCCTCAATTTGTGCACGATTTTAACGTAAAAGAAAGGAACATGTGTTGTTCGGGAACCTGTTGGAAAACGTTTAATAAAAGTCATTAGTTTGTGCACTCTCCTTTACCTTGTTGATGTATCTTATCGACCAAATTCCATTTAATCTCAAGAGAATATTTGTATTGACTGATATGAGTTTCGGTGTTCTCAAAATCAAGTGTTTCCAAAGAATGCCTTCTAGTTTACATTTTCAGTTCAAACGTTTGTGACAAATCAAATAAACGATGTATTTCACGTCTCTAATTTTCAGTAGTTTTATCTTGTTAATATATCAACGGTTAATCCATAAACAAATTACTCACTATCTTAAATTATTGAATTAATACAAAATAAGTAACCGTATATTTTCCTGCTTCATAAAACATAATATATTAAACCAAAATGTAAGATAAATTGAGCACAATTCTGGTAATTTTGATAATAGAAATTTGTAAATTATAAGACAAAAGAGCTGTTTATCAAGCACACTTCACTTAGATAATCAAAAGAGAAGAAAATCAAAATCAATTTAAATATTTTGATCATATTAACAGTTTAAAATATTTAATCTGTATTGCGATTTCACTCGATTTTACAACAAAAGAAAAATAAATTATGGGAGAATAAAACTATATGCAATTGCATTAGAATTATTTATAACAAGAAACATTATTGTATTCTCAATCCTTGTATCATCATTGTACTTGATTTTGGCATGGATTTTTACCCTTTTTAATGTTGTTTATTTCTTCAAATATCATTTAAGTCTACAGTCGTACATTATTAACGCAAATTTTGAATGTCGATTTTTTATAATTATAAGTCCTTTCCGTTTTGTGGGAAAGATGTTTTTCTATTTACAAATGAAAAGTGCCATTGGCTAATTATCAACATGATAAAGTGACCCTTGATGCGCAGGTTACTTGTCCACGGGCGTCGAGCTGAACGTGATCCTCGTGGACTGGTCGGGGCTGGCCGCCGCCGAAGAGTCCGTCGGGGTGTTGAGTGCCGTGCAAGTCGGGGACTACATCGGCCAGCTGCTCAACCACCTGGTCTCCGCGCGCGGCCTCGACCCGGACGACCTGGTCATCCTCGGCCACAGCATGGGCGGCCACGTGGCGGCCATCGCCGGCAACAGGCTCGGCGGGGGACTGGCGTCGGAAGTTGTCGGTGAGTTGCGTTGCAGTCTATCACTTGTGAGGAAGTTTGATTTCCTCTAGCTTTCATACCGGGGGAGGTGGTTCAGGGCATCCGTATATGATACTGCAGTGCCTCCGACCGGTAGGTTGTAGGTTCGAGTCACGACGCTGGTAGGATTTTCTGTCGCTGTGTAGAGGAGAATTCCAGCGGCCGGCTGCTCTGATCGGTAGTTTTCCGTGATTTCTCCGATGAAGAACAAGCGAATGCCGAAGTAGTAACCTGACAAACGGGCCACGGACGGCGCGCGATATTTCCTTCCTCATCATTGTCTTATCCTCACCCCTTACACACTTAAATTAACGTGTACTACGCGACCACTTACGCCGAGAGCTTGGAATTCGTCCCGGCTAGGGCGGTGCCCTGCTGGAGGGCGATACCTGGTTGGGGAAAAGCCCGCTAGCCGACAGGTAGGTCGGCGCCAGATCTCGTCATCCAGCTGAGGAAAATCACCACCCCATCCCGAAAGTGAAAACAAGCACTACACTTACGGGGCTAATGATCTTTACTGTTGACACGCCTGGAAGTACAAACAATCAATCAAACAACCAAGCTTTCATTATTCTTTATGGTTGGTGCAGCGCAAAATTCTAGAAAATGTGTTACAAACTTCCTAAAATGTTAAACTTGGAATTTCAGATTCTCTCCGACTAGAAAATGTCAGATTTTACAAGAATACATTTCTTGATATGCCTTAATACTATTGATGTGTGAGTATAGATGTGTCGTTGGTGTTGCGCAGCGTTGGATCCCGCCAGCGACATCTTCGACGCCTTCCCGCTGGAGAACCAGCTGGACCCGTCGGACGCCAAGTTCGTGCAAGTGATCCACACGCACGGGGGCGGCTTGGGGGCGCTGGAGAGTAGGGGCCACGCCGACTTCTTCCCCAACGGCGGCTCGCTGCAACCCGGCTGCTCCAACGGTCAGCCTCGCTCGGCACTGCGCTCTTCTTAAGTTTTGACGCAATTAAGTTAAATACGTTACCCAAGGTTGTTCCAGAACTTTATAAGTACAATAGCTAACACTTCTGGCGATGAAATGTATATTTCTAATATTTTATTTCAATCGTTTAAAATTACTGACGAATTTGAAATGTGGTTTAGTTTGTTGCCCTGCAGTGACACGGCCAACTGATACTTTTTTGCGAGGTGCGTTCCGAAGATCTGCGCTAAAACGCGAAATGTTTGTGCCAGAATTTCACACATTATCTTAATTTAAATCAATATTTTTATTAAATTAAATTGATTGATCAAATTTAAAAAGAAAAACTATCAGCATACAAAAATCTATCATTAATACATTGTTATGTAGTCTGATTTGGGGTTCCTCTTGAATTGTTTCAATCTAAGACAAATAGCATAAAAGGGTCAACTGGAAAACCTATAAGGCAAATGTTATATAGCAGGTTATCAGTTTACAATGTTTTTTTATGCTTAGATCAACTTAAGATGTCTTTTCTGGAGGTTTTTGTCAAAAACCAAATAGAAACGTTTTTTTTTGCAGCTCTAGTTAGAAGTTTCGTGGCACTAACCGTAACCTGTCCCAATTTTACAACTTAAGAACGAGAAAATATTAGTTACAAGGGTAACATTCTCATAGACTAGAGTAATTTGTGTAAGACTATTAGGGTCGCTGAAGGGTCGCGGGTTCGAGTTTCACCTAAGGCATGGTTGTTTGTTCCTTGTCTCTCGTGTATGTGTAGTCGCGGAGGGCCTAGAGTACTGCTGACCACAGATCAGAGAAGCCTGCAAAGTATGTTAATATCTAGAATATGGTCAAATAAGCCTTCCATCGGGACGCAAATAGTATCCGGCTGTCGGCTGGAAAAAGCTCTAAGAAGAAGAAGACAATATTTAATTGTTTACGCTCTAAAAAGTATTTTATTTCCTTTCTTCAACTTGAAAGTGTTTCTTTGAAATCTTTCTGTCAAAAATGTACTGAAGAAAAGAATAATTTATAGGCAAAAAATACTTTGTTATATACAACAATTTATTAGGCTATACGAATGAAAAAGTAAGACATGACGAGCAATGTATGTTTTTATCCTCCTTCTAAAATAATTTCAGTAGTTTAATATTCAGATGAATAGTTTATCTTCGGTGCATGCCCTTGAGAAACAGTAGAACGTGAGTAGGTTCCGTCTAAATTAATTTCGAATTAGTTGCGATGTATGGAATCACTGACTAGGTAGACGACTCGTAATATTGAAATTTTATTAGTAGTATTAGATTTTTTATTAGTAATATTAATCCTAATACTTTGAGAGGATCGTTGAATGAGTGCAATTGAATAGAACTGAATAATTTATTTATCCCACAGCTATTTGTCATCATGGTATAGTGATGGACTTTTACCTAGAATCTATCGTGTCAAGAGATTTTGTTGCTACTCTCTGCTCAAGTTACGAAGAATACAATGAAGGAAAGTGCAGATCTAATGAGCATATCCCCATGGGAGAATGGACCCCGCACAGGTAACTATCTATAATAATTTCTTAAGAATAATGGTAGGAAATGCTATCATTTATGGCATTAGCACAATTACAGAAGTGAGTATGAGTCGTTGTTTGTGCTTGTGTCTGTATAAAGCATTTTAAGTCGCATTGCAGACTAACCTATCCTCGTAATCACTTCTTTAATACTTTTATTTCATAAAGAATTTTTCCGCAATTTTAAATAAAATTGTAATAATATATTTGTATAAACATACACACATTTTATCGCAATTACTGCCAATTGACTGAAATTTGCATTTAATATCACGGTCAATTTCATTTATATTGCTTCCAGCTTTATTTAAAAATAAATTGACAACAAAGGTATACCGATGGAATATATAAAGTATTTAATAATGTTCTGCGACACAAAACTGGTTCAATACCTATTAAATTGTGTTTATAATAAAAATTAATATCTATTTTCAGCGTATCCGGATCATATTATCTGAACACTAACTCTAAATCACCGTTTGCACTGGGCCAGACAGATCTGTAAGAAAAGAAATAGCACATGTAAAAAAGTGTCTAATAAATATAATATTTCTTTAATAATATTGTGATAATAAATTAATTTAATGTGTATTATGAAATAGTTTTATTTTATTTCCTTCCTATCATTATATTTATAAACAGTTTCAAATAATTTCCTTTCGCACTAGACAAAAAAATTATCTTCGAAAAAGTGTATTTCAAATGTCAGTACAATATATAACAGATTATTTTAATGTTAATTAATATTTCATACTAGTATGATTCTTTCTTACACCTTGAAATGTCTTGAGGACTTTAGTTGTGTGTTGTTTGATCTCGTCACATAATCTTTCGTCACATAATCTTTCTGTAACATTGTTATTAAATAGAATGGTCATCTTTATTAAAGAACTTGTTTTTAGAACCGATTTCATTCAGCAGAAATTCTCATCTTCAATTTGGAACTTTTGCAATGTTAATTTTGGGTTTGCAATTTTCAAAAACACGGAATGCTCTCAGAACGGAACCTGAACAACTTCACCCCACCAAATCTTCACCGTTGTTTGCGACAGTTTCTAATACGTTGTCTGGTCTGTTTCATGCACATTTACGCAAAAACTTCTCATATTTTTGAAAAATTTAATATGACCACCTTTGAAGGCCTGTTTTTGACAAACAGATTTCATTAAAGAAAAAATGTATGTGTTTATTACTGAAGTGGTACGAAGACGCCGAAAACTTTTGACCTTTTTCAGTTTCGGAAAACTCACGAAGTGCAAGAAAAATGCGACTTTGGGGCGTCTCTTGCTCTATCAGAGTAAAAGTTAAAGATAATCTATTTGAAGCCGTCGTAAATAATAATAATAATAATAATAATAATAATAATAATAATAATAATAATAGTAATAGTAATATGTCTGGCGCTGGCCGTTTGGTTGAGGCCCGCGTGCATTTCCTGGGCGCGTTCCGGGGCCGGGCGCCGTGTCGCTGGCTGCCGCCTGATCAAAAGCCGGCGTAATGAGCAGCGCCCGTGCATTCAAACGCTGAATTTTCCATGATGGCCAGCACAGCCGCCGGCGCCCGCGTTCGCGTCCGCGTCTCGTTGGGAAATATTGCGGTTACGCGCTTCGCGGCGAGCCCTCTAGAGCGCGCGCCGCCGCGGAGTGGACCTGATAAAATATGCAGCCGCGAAATGAATGCGCTGGGACCCAGGCGGTCGCGCAGGGTCGGGCTGCTACACTCGCCTGTAGTTCATTTTCGTTTCTACTCTATCGGACGCTGGCGCTGGTGTCTATCCCTCTGACTCTCTCTCTCTCTCTCTCTCTCTCTCTCTCTCGCTGCCTCTGTCTGTCCGTCTCTCTGACTCTGCTTTTCTGTCTCTCTCTCACTCACTCTGTCTCTCTCACTCTCTCTGCCTATGTCTCTCTATCTGCCTCTCGGTCTGTCTGTCTGTCTCTCTCTCCCTCTCTCGGGAGTAGGCTATGTTCTTTGATATATATAAAAAGAGAAAATAACTAGCGACCTGCAGCTGCAAAAATGCTTCTAGAACATGTGAGGAAAATGGGATCTTGAACTTGAAACATTGGCTGGCTCGAACCAACACAGGTGAATATCGAATGAGCTTTCTTCTTCGTCTAAATACGTAATCTGTGTCATACATACAAATACTGACGCACCGTGTTTAAAAACAGTCGAAAACTCAAGTGTGAAAAATTGCGGCTTAACATAATCGTGTATTGGTATTTTCAAAGGAGACGAAATCATAATTGTTAACGAAGAAAATATTTATTTTATTATTTAAAATTCATTACAGTGTCTGTTTACAAATAAAAGCAAGTTTTGCTACACAAGGCAAGTCATTTAACAATGCATCTTTATTAAATGATCCACAATCCTGATCAGGTTCATTGCCCCAAGGAGTATTATCCGGTTGTCCGGGATGCCATTTGATGTAACCAGTTTCATTTAAAGGATCACCTATAAGAAAAATATTCATTAAATTGCAAAAACTTCTCAAAATAATGTTGATTGGAAAAAAATATTCCTGTGACAAAATCTGTCCCTAAAATAATTAAAACTAATTGTGAAATTATGAAAAGAATTGGATTTTTAATAGAATGTGCAATGCGACCGTTCATTAAAAGTAAACAAATGGAAAAAAGTAAAGATTTAGGATTCTGCACATAAAATTTGAATTATGCATAGTAAATATCTAAAAGACTGATTAAAAATACAAATGAAATAGCTAGAGAGTCAATTAGGGGAACCAAAAATGTATTGGGATTAATATAAAAAGGTTTCACCACTGTAATGCTAGAAAAATGCCTGCGATTACGTGGACGCAGATTCCGTTGCACAGATGGCGTTCAAGTTAGCGTCCGCGCGAAAAATGGCGCGCGCTCTATATTGAAGTCAACAGTTCAGCGAAGCAGTGTTCGCTCCAGCAAACAGCAAGCCGTCGGGGCGAGTCTAGGCTAGCAGCGACGACGCATATAAAACGGGCGGCCTGGTGCCCAGAAAGGTTCCTCAGATTTGGACAGTGCTTGAATGTTGTTTTTGAGAATTCAGTTCAGATTACTACGCATGTATTATGCTTTTTTCTGTTGGAATTGTTCATAACTAGGATTCGAACTTGTACATCTACCGGTAAAAAGGCGAACGTCTACAGACATTTACTTCTGGCGATTGGTCTACCCAGGCATTGTTTACTGTACAATTTTGATTGTGGCATTTTTGTAAAGCTGAATGATCAATAAACTGTAATTATTGGAACTTCTTTCTACTTTTTTCATATATTTCATTTGCCTTCTCAAGCGTTCATTTCAATGTTATTTTTTGCTAGATATTTCTAAATTCCGGAAGTTTTAGGGTATTTTGCCCTTAACCACAGAAATAATTTTAGCCTTCCAAATGAAGGGAGTCTCGCAGGACTGGAATACCCACCCAGCACCGTGCGGTAGTCCCCCTCCACGCCGCGGTCGTGGAA